ACCTTAACCCACATACTGCGTTATAATACTCTTTTCTAATACTTGTTATTATCTTAAGTAACTAGAATATGTTACGATTTGTATAGTTAATAAACGACTAGAAGAAAATTAAATTCAAAACTTACGTTGCGGTTCATTTGAATCATTGTTGTTAACATTGTTAACATCAAGTTCACTATTGCTGTTTACAACTCCGTTTGCGTTTGCTGTAAACGCGCACCACACACGAACACACGCATATGAAGACGACGGCGATAACGACGACAACACCGATGACAACGGTGTTCGTGATGATGATGGAGCAATTATGGCAGCGATTTGTGACGGTACACATATATTATATATGTATATATATAAGTGTGTTATGGTTGTAGCAAACGAGTGTATATATGTAAATATTTTTTTATAATTATTATTATTAATTTAAAATTTTATGCAATCACATTCCGTATTATTCGTTTTTACGGTTATGTTTATGTATGCAATGAATTAACGCATAGATGATGAACAAACAAATAAAAGTAGTGGTAATTTTGTTGACGGAGGACGAGGTAGATTGATGTTGAAGTTGATATGAGTTGATTGGACGCCACACAAGTATTCGTGAAATTTTTTTTTTTTACATTTCGTTTTTTTAGTTTTCAAGTTATTTGTTTGTTGTTGTTTGTACGTGATGGTAGTAGTTTGTGTACGTGATTTTCATGTAAAAGCAAAAAATATACAAATTAATAAAAAAAAAAATTATATTTAAAAAAATATATACAATAACATAAAAAACTAACAGAACTATAATAAAATTTAAACGCATAAACTAATCAAGTATAAACATAATAACCAACTGACAAAAAGCATAAGCATAACAAAACGTAACGCTCAATATACAGTTACGAAAAAAAGTTAGCAATTAAGTTTTTTTTTTTTTTTTTTTTTTTTGTGAAAGTAGGTGATACAGTTGGGACTGTCGCTAAAGTAAATAGGCTGATAATAGCAGTACCCAGAGGGGCTACGAACTGCCTATAAATAAAATGGGGTCATACTTAAAAGCCTGCTTGGAAAATAACTATCATAAGTAAGTTGAGAATTGTACGTGGCGCTGCAAAAAGCCTGACACGCAGCTAAATTCACTACAAAAGCGCTTAAATGCACACACACACTCGCGCAGACATACACTCAAAATGAAATTACATTTCCAAACAAATATTTCTGCATATAAATTCAGCTCACACACACACGCACAGCCACTTAAAGAGAGCACATCCTTGTTACTTTCTGCTACTTACGCTCTTGATCACTGCCGTCTTCGCCCAACTTCTCATCGCGACTTTTCATGAACGGGAATTTCCGTGAAAATGTGAAATTCTTCTTCTTTCGATCGAGCGTCGATTGCTGCACCAAGCCCATCAAATTAATTTAAGAAACAAAATAAAAAAATAGCATTAAATAAAAGCAAATTAACATTTACAACAACTACGGCTACACCAACCGCTCTAGCGCTACTTTACCTCGTTACTGACCTTGTCCAGGTTATTATTGGTAGCGGCATGACCTTGGAACTTAACACTGCGATCGCGTGCGCGCATCTTTCGCTCCCATCGTCGTTTCGATGGCACAATACCGATTTGTTCGTCTTCGCTGTCGCCGAGCACGCGTCGTGCCTGCCACCACTCGTCGTCGGACGCATTGGTCACATGCAATATATCGCCATGGCGGAAGGGCAGACCGCGCGACGGCAGTCCGTCATCACGATTCGGATCGTAATCGAAGAGCGCACGCACGTACAGCGAACGCTTTTGTGAGGTGCGCAACAATGTGCCCGTGCCGCCGGCCGAGAGCGCAGCCTGCTGTTTTAGCTCCTGTATGCGCGCCTCAAAGCGGTTGTACTCCTCGGGGCGATATTGAGCGACCAATGTGACAACACCACCGGAACTCTGTGAACGGAAGAATGGGGAATCTCGTTATTAGCCGGAAATGCAGAACAACATCACTGTTTAAATTTCATAGGTAAATGAAGAAGTTTTGCTCTTCCCCATATAGTCATTGTAAATCACACAGAAAACGATAGTCATTCTCCTTTTGCAGATATGACCACCTCTCCCTTCTTTGGAGCAGCTTCGCTGGGTGTTTCCACTATCTTTTGGTCTCTGGTAAGTATCAGCGGATTCATATTACATCGATCCTCACAAAACGACGCAGAAAAATCTCTGATTTGAGATCTAACAGCCTCAAACACTGCTGCGAAGCGATCTCACCTTTGCACTTGTTGTCCGTTGTTATGACAGTTATAACATGACAACCTAATATTTCAAGGAGGTTACTTTTAAATGTTCACTGTCTCTGCTTTCTCGGGCATTTTCACCGTCACCGTTCTTTGCTTTCACTCACATCCATTAACCAAGACCTATTAACATAAGCGAAATCAGATTTATATACCTGGATAAGGTTCGCAATGCGACAAATCTTGGAGAAAACAAACCCATGAAAAGAGGATAAACACTCACCACCTCTTCATAGATATTAAAAGAAGGATGGCACTATATTTGAATTTGGTATCCCCGCAAAAAATAACACTGCTGTGTAACCTGACGTTGGGATACCAAAAGCTCCGTCAGGATCGGGAAAGATCACTACGAGCTGTTCGAAACCAAACGAGATTTCAGACAAGGTGACTCTCTAACGTGTTACTTCTTTAATCTACTAAATAATGAGCTGCAGAGCTGAATAGAGAAGGGAAAATCTTCTACAAGAGAGTACAACTGTTGGGGCGTACCCCAATGTCATCAGTATCAGTGGCCGTTAGTTCTGATTTCTTCGAGTTGGACAAAGTTCCGAAGGAAATTGTTCTGATAGTGAACGAGGACAAGACGAAATGCTTCCTACAATCATCGCACTCCCTACTTGCCTGCCACGTCACTGTTGTTGGAAGTCGCAGATAATTTCGTCTATCATGGAACCAGCATTAAATTAACAATAACGTCAACCTCAAAATCCAACGCAGAATAGCTCTTGCTAATAGGTACAACTTCGGACTGAGTAGGCAATTGAATTCCTCTCTCGACGAACAAAGACCAAACTCTACAAGTCACTCATCCTTCCCGTCCTGCTATATAATGCATCTACAAGTCACTCATCCTTCCCGTCCTGCTATATAATGCAGAGGCATAGAGGATAACAACATCTGATGAGTCGACGTTACGAGTTTTCGAGGGAGAGGTTCCTCGGTTATTTTGTGGGGTCCATTACGGATCTTGACAGAAAGTTTAATTTTCTTCCAAAAAAGGACCACAGTACGTCCGGTTAAATGTGGCAAGGATGTTTAGAGTATGTAGGAGTTTCCTTTTAAACTTATGTCCAAGATGCACAAATATAAAAGAAACGCGGCGAAAAACCTAATTTAGCGCTAGTTCTATAAAATTTATTCATAAATATTGAACTGACCGTCAATTACGCCAATGTTTCTTATGTTTCATAAAACATAAGTATAAATATTCTCGACTCCTCAACTCGAAGTATGAAAAAATGTTTAACTCACCTTCAACGCCTGAGCGGCCTCCTCGTGTGTTGCATTATTCAAGCTGACATTATTGACGCTCAAGAGCTGATCGCCGCGTTTCAGCTCGCCGCCAGCATCAGCGGGTCCGCCAGCCAGTATAAATGACACATATATACCCTGACCATCCTCGCCGCCGACGATGTTGAAGCCCAAACCTTGTGGACCCTTTTGTATGGTGATTGTGCGCGGTTCACTAGAAACAAAAGAAGAGAGAAAAGAAATTGAGGAAATGCCGGAGTAATTAACACAATTACAAACAAATACAGTACAATAACGATAATGCACACTACGTGTAATAAATAAGTAATGAAACAACAACAACTCTACAAATATGCATAAGTATGCTCATAAGTAGGTGTGTGTATATGGTATCATAGTCGTATAAATAATATTATGCACAATGGCACATTATATTTGTGCTATACAGCCGAAGGCCATATTAGTATGTACACTGGCATACGCACTTTACGCCGTCAAGTTCAGCCAACATATCGGCGCTTTGTAAGCGCAGCACGTCGCCAACAACATCGCTGCCGTCAAAGCCAAAGCACGCCTCACTGACATTTTTGCCGCGTTCCAAGCGTGCTGTCACTTTCTTCGTAGACCTAGTAGACTTAGACTTCGGCTTAGGCGCGGGCTCCAACTCCATTGTGGCAGGCAAAGGTAAGGAGTTGGATTTCTCGAGCTTATGCAACTTGCGTAGCCGCGTTATGCGCTCGTCCATATTGAGCAAATGCAGCTGCAGGCAACTCATTTTTCTTGCTGTTCTCAAACGCTCGTTACTTGTTGGTGGTTTTGTTAATTAGAAAGAGGCTCACGCGCTTATCGATGTGGATTAATTCAATTAGCCACCAAATCGATGCGAATCGACGATTGACAATTTATTTAATACAACACGACGCGTCCGCTAACGTGGACACAGCTGGTTGAACGGCCACCCGCTTTGGACTTGCCTACGCAACGAAATGTGCAATTACTTTCGGAATTCCGTTTACAAAGCGGCAATGACAGCGGCGAACGCGACGATTGCGACCGCAACAACAGCAAAAATAATAAAAATAATGGCGCGCGTTTGCATAAACAAATCCGAGTTTCGATTTGAAAGCCAGAAAACGAAGAAAAAGTAGCCAAATGCAAACTGGGATGGAAAAACGCGCAACACCTTCGTTAAACACAATGGCAGCGCGAAAATAAGGCATGCAAGGCGGTAATCAAGACGCGGCGCGCACTGCCACTGCACACTGCAGCGAAAAGTCAACGACAGTGTGCGGTATGGACAAGCTAGACCAGCTCACGGGCTAATCGTAGTAGCACACTTGCCGCTCAACAGCTGTATCCGTTTGAGCGCCGTCGCCGTTCGTCATCCGACGCGTCAGCGTAAGCCAAACTTGTATTGAACAAAATAAACAAATATATGTACATATATATATATATGGCTGTTGCGCACGGAAATAAGATAATTAAAACAAAAATAAATACACGTTTATCGCTTGAATAGAAAACTCGAAGTGAAATAAAAGTAATCAAAGAGGAAATTAAGTAATGCGCGCGACGCGAATTAATGCGAAAAAGTGCTCGTAGACAGAGCGCGAGATGAGCGCGGTGTACGCGGTGACGCTGCACCGGGGTATACACGTATGCGCGTACATATGAGTGTCGTGGCAGCTTTTTTTTTGCCTGGCTGGTCTTGGCTGAGACACAACAATACAATGTAAACTCACTCAAATATGGTTTTCCAGGCGCTCTGAGCCGCAACGTCGCAGTTACGCTAACGCGTTAGCGGTCCGCCACCAACCTTTTTATGGGCATACATCAGTCAGTCAGGCAGTCAGTTAAGACAGTTAGTCAGTCGCGCTGCAATGAGTTATTCAGTAAGTCAACAGTAGTTGGTGCCAGTTATTGTTGTGTATACTCCGCACTGTGACGCCTATGAATCAAGAGCTACGTTTGCTCATTTCACGAGCGCGCGCCGGATTCTGGTAGACGTTTAGATATCAGCGCTCTCAAGTAGATATAAGAACATACATATGTACATGCAAATAAGCGATAACCCGAAGTAAAAAAGAAACGAATATTAACCCATACTGAATCATAATACAACGCCCCTTAACCGCGTCAAATGATAAGGTTAACGAGATAACGATGACGCTTCGGTTTGTATGTAAACAAAAGCGGGAAAAACGCTTGTTGTATTCTCTCACAGTAGATTCGGTATATAACGGGTGATCCAAGTAGAGGTATTTTTTGGCATTTCATAATGGCCTGAACAACGTTTACAAATCGTTCAACTTTATTAAGAAAATTCACATTCTGTAAAGAATGTATTTCGCGCGCTTCGCTTATGATCAACATAATCGACGTACTGAGCGTACTATTCTCAACACCATCATCCAATCGAGATCCAGCAATCATTATTGGATAATATTCGGTCGAATAGACCACGTCCAGCACACATTGAAGAAAATATAGCAGCCATAGCTGAGAGTGTACACGAACACGGTGGAGAGTCGATTCGGCGCCGTTCGTAGCAACTCGGACTGACGTATGGAACGACTTGGCGCATTTTACGTCGAGACCTTAAATAAAAAGCATACACAATAGAGGCAAAAACTGAAACCGCTCGAGCTCGCTTCGGCGACATCGTTTCGCTCAATGGACTCGACGTTATCGAGCCAAATTTTGTTCAACGATGAGTCCCATTTCTGGCTCAATGGTTATATAAACGTGTAAAATAACCACATTTGGGACGAAAAGCAACCTGAAGAGATTCAAGAGCTGCTATTTTATCCAAAACATACACAATATAAATGTAAATTGAAGCTCGTGAACTCGACGACATTTGATTTCAAGATCGTGTGATATCACACCGTTAGACTTTTTTCTTTGGGTATATGTAAAGTCTAAAGTTTATGCGGACAGTCCCGCTTCGATGAAGGGTTTGGAACAAAACATCAGGCGTATCATTCGCCAGTTACCAGTCGAAATGCTCGAACGAGTCTTCGAAAATTGCACTCAACGGATGGACCATCTGAGACGTAGCCACTTTAAAAAAAAAAAAAAAAACAAAAAAAAAAACCAATTATAACAATGCACAATAGACCAACACCTTTTGGAACTTAAAGAGCAGACATCGAAAATATTGTTTGTTTGTTGTTGAGAATCTGACATACTTTCCATGGTTCGCTTAGGAGCTCATCAATTACTACCTCGCTATATACACACACCCTTACCACTATACTTTCTTACATGTTTTTTTCGGACTTTTTCGTTCGTTCGGAATTTTCTTCAATTTTTTTTTGTTTTTTAAGTTATAATTATAGTTATAATTATAGTTTTTAATTAATATAAAAAAAAAAATACAAAAAGCGGCCGATTTTATTGTTTGCGTGGCCACGAGTGTATAATATATATTTTCCTCAAAGTTAGAAAGCGGTACACAAGCCTCAAAACTTTTTTGTTTAGTTTTTACCTGTCTTCAATTTATGGCTGCAATTGCAATTTCTATCTGTTGCGGATCACTAATAGGGATCTTAGGGTTCGACTCTTCTAAATTCGTTAGCAACATCGACGCAACATAAAATATAAGATCCAAGGGGTGATCTTGATTGAAAGATCAATTCAACCATCTTGAAATTGTTTAAAGTGATTTTTTATAGAAATCAAATGAATGAATGATTAGAACATTAGAAATATGAGGAATTTCTCCTTGATTTACTCGTATATACTTTAAACCCAAGTGAATACAAAAACCTTACAAAAAACACTGTCCATATAAACGAGGATGTTCTACCAAACATTGCTATAAAATATATAACTTTGCCGTTGCTTTCACATATAATCCAAGAAAAGAGGGTTGCATTCTGGAGAAGAGAAAAGTAACGAATAAGAGGTGGGCTGAATAGTTCGTATGCTAACATAATTTTTTTTATGAAATTTCATTTTATTCTTGTTTTCAATTATCTTCGTAGTCATAAATAGCAATAGCAATTGTATAATAAGTTGAATAAACAGGCATCTCAACGTTAATCATTAAAAAGTAACATCCGGAAACCAGTACCACTCTAGTCGAAACCGAAGTTTTGTGCTAACAGCACGAAAAAATATGGTATATTGAAATCGTCACTAAAGACAACAAGGCAATAAAACCGAGTTTAATTGTTTTGACATAAAGAGGTTATCAATTTGAATGCTGCGCTTGTTGCTATAACGGTAATTATGTCATTAATTTAATTTTTATTATTGAAATTACAAATGTACAAATACATACACACATACTGTATTGGCAAAAAATAGTAAGATTTCTAATAGAAGGGTGACAAAGATTTTAAAGAATAAATTGAGTTTTAGAAATATAAAAAAAATGTACTATTGTTAGCTCATTGTGGTCTTCATCTTTGCTTACTGAGAAGTGTGTTATTTCATTATCTGATGAATAACCTGTGTAAATTTGTTCGAATCAAATAAGGATTAATTCTAATAAAATCTGAAAGAAGTTGTATCAGCGATAGGAATCATATGTTCGGAATGTGTCCATAGCTCCGTCATAGTTAAAATGGTGAAGGTGAAGGTAGCGATTTTGCAAATTAATTTTTTAAGTAGAATACAGTTTTATACGATACTGATAAATTATTGGAGTCAAATATTATACGATATGGACATAATGAGATCGTAGAACAACTCGCTTCAATCAGTTTCAAACTCGAAGAATCTAAAATTAAGAACATGTTAAGCACATGTATTCAGAAGTGACTGGAGGAAAAGGACCTGTAGACCAATATTGATGGAATTAATGACTACTAACCGATGTTGCTAGTAAAATTTAAAATATTTCTACAAAAAGTTTGCGAATGGGCAAATGACGAAGAAAAATTTATATATCACTGACTTATCAAGTTGCCTTCGTATAATGATGATTAAAGTGCAAAACTGAAATTAAAAAATTTATTGAAAAAAATTAATTTCCAAAATGTGCTTATTGGCCTTCGCGAAGCCTTTGTGTGGTTAAGATTTTTTAGTGAAGAAATCATTAGTAAGGAAGCACAAATAACGTTTGCTACGAAATCATTAAAAATTTTGCAAAACTGGACGTCTACTTTATCACGACACACATCTTTGAGAGCACAAAGTATGTAGAGGTAGATTGCGTTTTATATTTCGTTATTTGGCAATCCTAATGTAACAGTCTGGAAACTCACAACTCTATCGTAAAGTTTGACATTTTTGATATTACATATACTCAGAACATTTTGACATACGAACGCTATTTGTGTTGTTCATCTCAGCCGAAAATGGAATTAAGTCGTGAAGATTTTCGAGCGATTATTTTTTCCAACTTTCGACGTTGATTCACTCAAAACGGTAGCAGTGCTTGGAACACGATTATGACAAACGTGACAGATTATGAATCGCGAATTTATGCGTTGGAGCCCGAAAGTAAACAGCAATCGACTGTATGGCTGTTTCAAAAAGAGCCGAATCTAACACAAGACATGTCGCAACCGAAATTCTGAGGGGTACACAACCATTTGCTTGCCAGTTGTATTTCAGGAAATAAAGAAAACTAACGTGGATTTATGAATATGACGACGAAACTTTCGAAGAACATTGCGCCAGAAATTCGCTGGAGACCATCTCAGATAGTGGATAAGTATCCAGATTCCCCGTATTTTAATATGTGAAATTTGAAAAAATACCTTTTCAAAAAAAAAAAAAAAAGATTTATTCAAAATTTTAACTTGCTTATGTGCTTTAAGGCCAGAAAAGCTCGAGACGATTGACGCCTGGAAAGAAAATATTATGTACATTTTTGCTAAAATATGGCCCCAATTGCTATAAAGAGTTCGAAAGTAAAGCTTCTCGGTTTCGAGCCAATTTTTGTTCAGCGATGAGGCCCATTTCTGGTTCATTGAGCAAACAAGAAAAATTGCTGCATTTGAGATGAAGAGCAACCTAAAGAGAATCAAGACCTATCATTTCATTTCGAAAAAACGACGGCTTGGTTATTGATTCTTCGTAACGTGCCGGTCGGAACGTAACTGTTAAAGGCAACCGTTATCGCGACTATTTGACCCCTGAAATTGAAGCTTGTGATTTCGGCGACATTTGTTTTCAACAAGACGCATCAATCAATGCATTCTCTGGGAGAACACTTCGGTGAGCAGATAATTTAACTTTGTGGGTCGGTCGATTGGCCGTCAAGATCATGTAATATCACGGTGTGTGTGTAAGACCTTTCCTGTGGGGATAGTAAAATCATCGTAAAATCTGAGACGTAGCTGCGGCCGACAATTGAAAGAGATAATCTTCAAAACATAAATGTTAAAGAATGTTTTTTTCGAATGATAACATTCCTCAGTAATTTCGAAGTTTCTGTGTTTTTTCTTTATAAAATTAGGGAACCTCGACATGTATCAAGTTTAAATTCGAATTTGGCAAGGAAAGTTATAAGTTTTCGTTTTGGAAAAAATATATATATGTATATTTAGTTCATTATACAAATTACTTATGCATATTTGTTTTCGAACAATGGACAATTTAAATTTCTAAAACCAATTTATTCCAAATGAAATAAATCATTTAGTAATTTAACTTTGAAAATTTATATAAAAATATGAATAAATGAATTATAAAATTACTACAATGTATTATAACTATTTATACATATGTAAGTAGTATATAGAATTTCAATGAATGCACTTACCGTGTAATATCCTCAGTGCTGACGGCACGTGGCGTTCCGGGTGGCACGGCGGCCAGCACATTCGATGACGCATACCTAGATGCTGGTTCTATAATTTGTGTAATTATCAAAAACCACAGCGCGGAAATTGAACACAACACGCACACACAAACATTGCATTACGATGGCATTGGCATTTTTGTATAACAGAATACATTTGTACATTTGTATGTTATTATGTACGATTATATGTATTAACATTTGTTTAGAGTTATATTTTTGGTCAACAAATGATTGCAAAGATACGGGAATGAGAAGAATAAAAGAATTAATGTGTTTTGGCATACTTTTTTTTTTTTGAATTTAAAGAGAAATTATAGTTGAAAAATATAAAAAAAAAAACATACACATGTGCATATATAATAAACATAATGCATTTAAATTAATTGTTATCTTTAGGAATTTCACGTATGATTTGTTAAAAATATTTTTGAATAAATATACAAATAGACTTCTTGCTGCTAGAAGTGCGGAGAGAAATAAAGTTTTTATTAATTACTTATTTCTTTTAATTAAATTTTTTATTACTTTATTTTCATTAA